ATGAAAAATATGTATACTTAAAAAATTTTAAATAATGTGTACAGTAATACGGAAATTACGTTATAGAATATAATGTGATACGAAAATCATGACTGTCTCAAGAGCTCAGATGTATTGCTTAATTATGCTTGATTACTTAGAATACTTTATAAGATAGTTGTTTCAAGATCCTTTTCAAGAAACTTTTTCAAGAATAAAGAAATGCAAGTTTAAAAAAAATAACTTCTTAAAGTATTTGTATTATAAATGTACAACGTGTATGTCTTATATATATATATATATTTATATTTAAATTAAAACACAGTTTTCAATATCTATATTAATATATATTCCTAAGCTCAAACGTTACTTTAGAGGAATAATCGAATAGTCGGTGTCAAAATGTTTAGTATATTTTTCCAGTAATTCTTAAAACGCATTCAATATCATAAGAAAGTTTATTTTCTAATTTTTTTAGAAAAACCAATTTTCTTGTTATATGTCAGATACGTTTCGAGAATTACTAAAAAGTTATATTTAAAAAAATCATTTCAATTTTTACATCAACTATAATAAATATTATCTTCTATCACAAAAGTTCTTCGCAAATAATCGTGGTAGACTTATTTTCATAAATCATTTTTCGTTTCTCGATGAAACTAATCTACGTGTTATTACAATAGTAAATGTGTAAGAAAACTTACAGTCATACATGAATATAGTTACTACTTCCTATCTCCAAATTTTGACTTGAAATAATAAATTTGAATATCTTTAAATTAAAAATTTGTGATATTAGTGTGATTGCACTGAACATTTTATGACAGTTCTTTTTTTTAGAGAATGTAACGAAACATTCATTCTTACGATCTTGCATTTGCTAATAAAGACAATTATTATTTGAATGACATCTTTTTCTTTTCTTGCACTTTCTTTCTTCGTTTATTTCTATGAACAATAAAGTCGACGTTTCTGATTTTTGTAACTACAATATTTAAAGAACGATGTGGTTTTTATAATTTATAAAAAAAGAAAGGTGGAAGAGTGCGCTAACATCATTTTGCAGGATACATCCATTACGAGGAAAATCGAGAATCGACTCATTACTAAAACGCTCCCGCTTTTTCATGGGTTTCAGATAATTCCTCCAACCGGAGGAGAAACCACGAAGAAGTTTATTTGGATCCAGATGATATCAATATGCGAAACGGTCTATACGAGTGTCCCAGTTGCGGCAATCTGTACAAGTGGAAGAAATCGATGCTTTCGCATCTACGTTATCAGTGCAAACAACCGCCGAGATTTGAGTGCACATATTGTCCAATAAAAAATTACCAGAAAGGACATATTCTACGTCATCTGCGCGTACATCACCCACATCTATCGCCACTGTATTTCGATCGGAAATTCAACACCATATATCGACTTTGATTAAGTATGCGTTTGTCTTCGTATATCACGTTTGTTATGTTCAATAAATTAAACAGCTGGATCTTGAATTGAGTGGCTAATTTGTAAAGAATCCTATTGCATCCTATGATTGTCGACGTCTGATCATTTTGTTTTCGTGTTATCGTGAATGTATGTTTATTAAATTCAATTAATTTTATTATTAATCTTTATTACGGATTTAATCAATTCGTCGTTCCCCGCAGGTATGGTTGCGCTTACATTGACAAATAAAATGACACTAATGATATATCTTAATATTTTTTCCAAGACTAGGATATGTTGACAGTTGTCACGTTGGCCTTTTCGTAATATTAATATTGTGTTAGGCACGTAGTTTGCATACACGATTTATTTACGACGCGTATAGACGAAGACGGAAATGCTGAGTACGTGTAAAGTCACGTTGCGAGGAGTGTCTTTCAGATTTAATTATTTTCATTATGCGTTGCTTGCTGGGGAATTCGATGATGGAGCCTAAGCCGAACGGCCGGTGATCATCGTAAAAGCTTTTCTTTCTCGCACGTACTCGAGCATGTCCTTCAGCATCTTCGTCTCCGTGTTTCAGGGTTCCACGTGGTGTCGCCGTTCGGACCGAACATGATCTGCAAGTATCAACCGGGAACGGACAGCAAGCTCAATTCTGAGAATAAGAAAAGGATACGTTCGCGCAAGGTCAGCACCGACAACATGAAGCCGTTCCAGTGCCAAAAATGCGGTCGTGGTTTCACCTTGAAGAGAAACAAGGACCGCCACGTAAATTACGAGTGCGGACACGAGCCGAGGTTTCAGTGCCCCTATTGCGGACTCCGCAGCAAGCAAACGTCACCAGTTTATGCCCACATCAGAAAGAAACACCCGGAAGAGGAAGTCTTTATCTTCGATATGAAGCTCTGAGCACGACAAGAAGATCGCGAGTGTCACTAATTCCATACTGAGCTACTGGAATGAATTTCGTCTTTCCATTGGACTCGTTATCTATCGCGATCTTCACACATCATTGAAGACAAATGTTTCTCAATCTCGCTTGTTACTGCCATATTTATCTTTTCCGTAAAAGAAATTGATCGTTAATTTTATATATAGATATTTCATTTTGGAACTATCTATTTAATTTAATTAATCAGATCATATATTATTTAATTATTATATATTATCATATATTATTTAATTCAGTAACAAAATTTATGTTATGAAAGAAATATTAATAAAAAAGTTATGATTTAATGAGAAAAGTAATCTGAGAATTCTATTTTCTATTCTATTTTCTATATGAGAACATTGTTAAAGTCGTTAGATATTTGTTAAATATTATTAACGTAAATTTTTCTTATTTAATCAATTAGGGCTTGAATTTTTCTTAATCATGAAAAATTTTAATTTTAAATTAAAAAAGATGCTCGCAAATGGCTGGTATCATGCGTATTGAGAAATTGTTCTACATCACAGACTTTGCCAAGCGACGATCAAAGTCAATCATTGAAGAAGATTCTAACCTTGGGATAGTATGACGCCGTACTTTATGATCCGAAAAAATTGTTGCTTCTACTTTATAAGAGGATAATAATTCGCTTGTATGTTGTTTTGTAAAATAAAATTTTATCACAGATTTATGTCTATCGCTGAAATGCATAGATTTTAATAAAGCGGCTAGACATTAATGCCATTCTTGTTCACGTACCTTTTTCAAGTATACGACCTGCTATTAGCAGCACGGATCTCTCATCACCCGAAGACTGCACAATCCGACGTTTCGATTTTTCTAATAGATTTCTAGTTACGTAGATTCTCGTAAACAATAAGAATCACATGTAGCGATTTTATATTCCAATTTTAGACAGCATTTTCATAAAATAACACACGTGCTTCTGCGTCACCGTAACCCGCGCGACGGAAGCGTTGCTGAATATAGGTTCATCACGAAGATGCCCCGCAATTTTCAAAGGTATTTTCTTTATTATTTCTTTCTTTCTTTATTATTTCTTTTGCAATTATTTCTTCTATTAATTATTCTTCCCATTAATAACAAAGCATGAATATTATCCCGGGAAACTTTCCAATGTTCCTATATTGAAGACTCCGACTTTCCCTCGAATCTTTCCGCCATTCGTCTCTCAAACGCGGTGAGCTGTTACATCTTATTAATTGATCGACTTTGAAGTTTCAGGTTTTTACGCGACGACTCCGCAGCTGGATCTGAACTTCGTATTGCAATCCTGCAAGGGCTTCGAGACCGATAGCAGCAATAGAGATTTTGGCCAGGACTGCTCGTCCATGTCGAGGTCGACGAATTACTTCTCTCATGGTCGCGTGAGAAATACCTATCATTCGAAGGTCACATTCAGCGACAACAAACCTTTCGGTTGTCCCAAGTGCGGCCGCTGCTTCACTGTCAAGGGCAATATGACCAGGCATTACAAGTACGAGTGCGGTCAGGCGCCGCGCTTCCAGTGTCCCTATTGCGAGTTCCGCAGCAAGCAGACGTCCAACGTGATGTCTCACATTAGGACCAGGCATCCCGGTCAGAAGGTCTACGTAGTGCACCTCAAATATGAGGACAAATAAAGGAAAAGGACGACCGTAGATATTACAATCTCGCGTGACGACAGTGATTTTCTCGATTTGAAACGAGCAGGGAACCGCACTGTGAAGAGAACGAATCGTTTGAGAAATTTGAAAAATTTTTACCGGACAGGTCTTATATGATCATTTCATTACATTTCTCGCGCAATATCATTCAAGCGTCTAGTACAATCGTGTGTCGAATCCGATGTATCAACATTCGTTGAAATAGACCGGACATGTGAATTATTTGTTGCTCAGATTCTACGCGATGTCTCATAAACGTCCTTAGCTATTAAGAGTTTCACGAGCGCGGTGCGGTTCCTACGTCATTGATCGGATGATATTTAATCTGGATATCACGTAAATACCAATTACAATACCTGACGCAATAATCGAGGGCAAGAGCGCGGATGTTGATTAACAATTGTTTAGCCGTGATGAGATACGACTTCGTCGTGGGGGTCTACTGTTGATGAAGCGCGAAATGACAGCGAATCGTGTAAAATTTGTAGCGGCTGAAATAGTGGGACTCAGTATTATCGTCAGATATTCTCTCCGTCTTTACACATTACGAAATATCTCCATGCTTAGCAGTTAATGAACCGGCGCGCGGATCTTCTCGATGTGCTACGTGAAATTATGACATTTCTGAACTATCGGTTCAGCCTCGGCGATGTGAGACATGTGAGGCTTTCAAAGTACGCGAGAAAAAGGTCTTCAGCGCAAGCACATTCCGAGTTTCGGCATTCGCGCGCTATCCAATAAGCAATCTTTCGATTATTAGGGGCTTTAAAAGAGTCGTATGTTTTTTAAAATGTAGATGTATACCTATAAAGATTCAGGTTGTGAGGTTAATGATGGGACACGAGAAAACATTTGTAGCATGCGTCTAAATGTATACTAGGTATGATCAGATTAGGCGTATGAGCGCCGAGTCGCGACTGTTTCGTATTATTAGCGAAGAATTTGTTCGATTTTACAATTGACAAATCGGAATTGTTATAGACGACGAGCGACGTGTCAAACGGTCACGGGTGCTCGTCATGAAGACTGAATTGTTACTAACGGGAGCAGAAAGTCTGAGAGAACAGGGTTTTAAGCGGTCGGAACAAACGTAGTTATTTTCTGTTTGATCACGATATAGAATCACGCGCTGCCGTGACTTTGTTCTTATGCATGAAGACGCATCGTACACAAGGAACACTAATAGCAATTGATAATATAGAATATATTTCACTATCCTATCAACATCGCGAAAGTAGATGGAAGTATTGCTCTTCATGTATCGCGGAAACACCAGTTTGTCACACATTTGGTTCTTTCGCGATTTGATTATCGCGGCATGTGCCTGCTTTCGTTTTTTGCAATCGTATCGCATCCGCGCGGATGGAAGGGTCTCTTAAAAACATGAAACACGTTAGTGACCGACTGTTTTTGTTGCTGTGATATAATTATTCGTGTAGTGATATAAGTGTATTTGACTAACTACGCGACGACGCTACGTTAATCACGTTATCCGCTATCGCGCGTAGAAACGAGTGTTCGTTCCGTTATCATACGTAAGATAAGGTGGTACAATTTCGGACATGGTACAATTTTGAATGAAATAAAATTTTAATCTAATTTTTGAAACTCTTGAAAGTTTGATTTTGTTTCCTATTTGGTATTCTTCAATAAGATCAGAGTTATTAAACTGGGACCTCGAAAATTGGATTATTTTACAATATTAAAATATCATATTAGACCGCAATGTGAATACATGATTAAGAAGGCTAAGCGGACAAGCTTGGCTTTCTAAATTAATTACAGATTTTAAGTTGTTTAATAATAAATATTATTATAAAGATGCCTGTGGGCATTAATATTATTAAATTGCTTGTCAATTTAATTTGTGATTCTACTATTCTACTTCTGTTAGGATTGCGTTTCGAGTCTGAAAATAAATTCGACATGCAGTTTGAAGAATTAAATTTGTGGTATATAAATTCACACAGAGTTATTTCAGCATTAAAGATCCAAGCTCGACCGTTTAACTTTTGTTTCTTAATTGTTGCGGATTATTTTATTTTGTTTAAAATTATACGATGTTCGAAATTGACCATTTTATCCTATTTTTTCATTTGATTTGTGATAATAACTATTCCAGCTTCGGTTTATGATTGCGTTTTCAAGTCCAACAGTAATTGGTGTATAATTTTTATAGAACTGGAAAATGTATTAAAAATTTACGTAGAAATACTTAGACATCAAGATTCAGCTTCGTATTTGACATTTTTCTGTTTACTTATGTTATTCACTTAACAGACTAGTTTAACTTGTTAATGTTTATATATTTCATTTTCATTTTTATCTTCATATATTCCGTCTTCGGATTAAGTATTTTAGGATGTCGAGCAAGTTTTCGCGAACAAGGGATCTCGTCCGCATGGGGTATTTTGATGGACGCAAAACAATCCTCGGGTTGTAAGTCCCGTATTCGAGCTTTGTATGACGTACGTCAAGATACCCTAGGATTCCTGGCCGATTAGAAACGCAACATGTTTTTACCGTCGGTATATCAATAGCGATTTTCCCGCAGTACGTTTTATGATCGTATATCGTCACTGTGGAAATGTAATATAAAAATAAATTGATGTTCGGACACCCTACTTGCCAAATGTGCTTCAGTATTTTCCCCCCTGATGTCCCTTCAGATTCTCCTTTACGAATCGGGCATGTTCAGTTCAAATGTTCCGGGACATAGGATCTCATCCGACAAACCTGTTATAGCTGCACGGTAGACGATCTACACGCGTGTGGTGTTTGTTTGCGGCCGAAACTAACGATGCCTATCCCTACCTTTCGTGACTGCGAGGGACATACTTGACATCAAGTTTTCTGTATTCGATTATTCCACCTACGTGCCACGAGACTAATATCATTGGGCAGTAATTTACTTTTTATCTGCATTTATGTGCTTTGCATCAATGATCCTTGCACTTTAATAATCTAACGAGTCATTCTTCACGAGGGCCAATGACAAGTATTTCCAACTTGACTTTCTCATCAATCACGGATAGTCTTATTTATCTATCTTTCAGTTTTTCAAAGGAAAAAATTGTTGTTTGTTTAATAAACGATAAAACTTGTCGATGTGCCCGATGTCAGAAGTTACCATACATAGCAATCCGGGCCAAATCTCACAATTCGGTTTTTGCTTTCAGATCTTCTCATGATGGACTGCTTCATGAACTTCGTAGGTCCCGAGGAACGTTTGCCTTCTCAGTCACAGAAGACTCTCTACTATTGTCCTAAGTGCCTGCATGGTTTCACCCTGAAGAGTAATCGCAATCGTCACTTCAGATACGAATGCGGTCACGAGCCCAGGTTCAAGTGTCCTTACTGCGAGTTGCGCAGCAAGCAGACATCGCAGATCTATAGTCACATCAGAAAAAAGCATCCTTCCGAAAGAGTCTGGGTCGTCGATCTTAAATCCTAACGAAACGTGCGAACATCGCGTGGATTCTCCGTCTTGACCATGAGAGCAGTGTTGTGTATTATAATGATTTCAAACATAATAAATGTTACCTACACATTACTTCCCGTCTTGACAATTCTGATAATGCTCTTATCTTTTACTCATCGTTAATTGCGTGCTCATCTTTTCAAAGTTTCATTTTCAGAGACAGATTGCCAACGTTACGAGAACGTCTGCTTATATTAACTACGTTGTCAGGTACGAATATATAATGTGCGAGGTAATAGAAATTCCTAATAAAAATTCGCTCAACTCGAGTTTCTTTGAGAAACTCGATGTTTATTTTTATAATATTTCATATATATAACTTATGTCAAATGCGTCACACGACATCGTAAAAGTTCATGATGATTTACATATCGACTAATGATGCTAGATTAAAACTGGGTGATATCGTTTATAATTTATGTATTATATTCACGCACGATATTATCTTTTGTTTGTACAAGCCATCATTACATTACACACATATTTTAATGAGATTTATATTAATGCGAGAGAGATGAAATCGTAAAATTTATTTTAATGCAAGTATCGATATTTCTTTTATATCAAAAAGCAATAAAAAGATGGGTAGATAATAATATTATTGAAAACAAATAGTTTACTTGACGATTCTAAGAAAAGATAAAAATTTTCATTAAAATATGTATGTATCCATTTTAGAACATTTTTTGCATATCAGCTTTCAGTATAGTCTCAATTCGATCGGTTCAAACGCATTATAAATACACATTGCACCAGACATTCGCTTTTTAATTAAAACGGACATATGTGCTCAATAACTATATAATGATCTTTCCTTGAACTGTCGATAGTTCGTCAATTATTATCTGCGATTATTGGTTTCTTTCTAATCGTCCCATCGTTTGCTTTCAGTTCTTCTGTACGGAAGTTACGGGATCGGTCTATATGATTCAACGAAGCCCGATCCAAGTCAGAACATCAGAATGCCGCCAATTCGACGACGAGGAAGTGGTCGCCGTAATCACGTGTGTCCGAAGTGCGGTAATGGTTACACCGTGATCAAGAGTCTCAGGCGACACTTGCGCTATGAATGTGGTCTGACCCCGAGGTTCAAGTGCCCTTATTGCGGCACTCGCAGCAAGCAACGCGGCCACGTGAGCCAGCATATACGCAGGAAGCACTCCGGTCAGCGCATCTATATCATCGACTCGCCCTGATGAGGCTTCACCCAGTATACTCTCTAACGGAACGTTCCTCTTCCTTTGGCGACACACGTTAGCAACGTCGATGTATAGTCTGACAATCTTGTTTTATTATTCTTGGTTTTATCTCTTTCGACATATTTGATCTATCGACACTCTTGGTGAACCGATATTACATGTAATTGTAATTGTCGTTTTGTTAACTGTGCTTAATGGAATAAAATTCATTGAAATACATTTCCACGATATTCTACTGGTTTTCGAGAAAGTCGTTTCATTTCCATTTATTTTATATCAAACGCTTGCATTGATAGCTCCTCGGAACAATCTGGATGCATTTCGTGGTTTGTTGACGAACAAGCCGAACAGGTAAACGGAGATCTTTGCGCGAGCTTGAATTCCTCGGGGTCAGGTGACGGGAATAATTCGCGTTAACACTCGCAAGCGTCTCCATGATCTTCTCATTTTTTTATCTCTTTCTCCTTCACGCTCGGAACCAGCGTATCTTTATCATCTAGCTAACTCCGCGTCCTGTCGATTTTTTTTTTAGACGCGAAGATGATCAAGCTGGAGACTATGTGTCTGCAGAGTATGTGCGAGGTGGTGATGGAGGAGTCTCAAAACTTTAACTACGAAGAAGAGAAGCCACTCAATTCAACGAGGAGGCGCCGCGGCGGACACATGCAGGGCGACATCGAGAGGCATACGTGTTCGCGATGTTCGAAGAGCTATATACATGCGTGGCATCTGAAGAGGCACACGAAATTTGAATGCGGCCAGGAGCCGAGAGTCCAGTGCCCTTACTGCTCCGCCAAGATGAAGCAACGCGGTCACGTTTACAGGCACATTCGCCAATGTCACCGAGGAGAAAACGTTTTCGTGATCGATCTTAACTGAGAACTCAAAGGCGAGAATGATGAATTTCAGTATGGCCATCTAGCAACAGAATTTTGAATCTTCAATGTTGGCGTTAATTCGTCAATCCTCACATTTACTGAGCAAATAATTTTGCCAATTCGCGTTACGAAAACATGCTTTATATAATGACTTTTTAAAATGCTTTTTGTTAAAAATTGTATAATACTTGTATTATTTATCTATTTTTAATGAATCTGTCGAAAGCTTTTTCGTAAGTTGCGTGATTTCGAATAGTTTGTGTTGCTTTCAAATACGTATGAGATAATGAAGAAATCTTATCCTTGGGACTCGTCAATAATATGAAATACTAAATTCAAACTAGACATTTATATTTAATTTTTTTATTCAGTTTTTATCTGAACATTTTTCACTCGATTTTTATTTTTTGACTGGATTATTTCATTTCGGCTTAATATAATATTCGCCATTAGACGACGAATTAGTTATTTATTTAATTTATTATTTGACGATTACATCATATCATTTTGTTGATGTGAATGAAGCATATTGACTAAAATTATCATGTCGAAAAAGAAATATTTATTTAATAATTTGAGATGTCGAAGTCTGCTTTGATTTGGCCTCTCGTTGTCATGTTTACAGTGTTTAGTTTATCACCGTTATATTTTATTATACTGATACGTTATTTTAAAATTTTAGTTGAATACATATTATATTAATTTAAACTGATGAAGACTCTGTGATAGTCAAAATGTATTGATATTAAACCTAAAAATACATTATATTTTCGAACATTTTACTTACTCGATCATTGATTGTTTTTAATTATATTATTATTATTGTGCAATTGAATGTGTCTTAAATAGGGAAATGGAGAATTCGTATTTGCCGCAATACAATTACTATAGTACGGATACTGATGTATCTAGTCATCATGATGATTAGAATTTAGATATGATAGAGAAAAGAACAACAGAAAAACGAAAAAAATTTATTTTAATTGTATTATCTTTTGTATCTTGTCTTGCTAACTTAAAAAAAAGCGAATAAAATATTTACGATATTTTTTTTTACTTAATCGAAATAAAGTCATTTCCTTGGTAGATTATTGATCATTGTCCGTATTATAAACTATACATATTATAAACAATCGAATAAAGCAAGTTCGTATTGTTATTTGCTTAAGAATGTTGATTATTGTCGATCTAGATTCTTCTCGATATTTTTAATAACATTATTTGGATTGTTATTATGACTAATATGCATTCTATTCTTTAGGTCCTTCAAATTTTTCCAATGTGAACAATTATATTTCGAATAGAGATGAGAGGGTCGATAGAATTAGCAACCTGGTCTTTGCAACGGTACTTCATCGTCTATTTAATGATACATAAAGTATTTTGATAATTTGAGCGATTCCATTTTCATATGCATTTGTGAATTGTACACCAAAGAAGTTCTCATATTATCATGGCGATGAGTTTAATGTATATGATTTATAAGATTTACGGAAAATTTTCAATTTATACACACACACACACACACACACACACACACACACACACACACACACACACACACACACACACACACACAGAAGTCTAATAGAGGATAAAAGAGGACATATGATCTAGTATTTTCATTATTATATATTTTAATGCATTTACTAAAATTATGAATTAATGATTAATTTAAATAAATATTTATATATAATTCAATCATGTTATCATCTTTTCCAAATATTTAGATTTATGGTTTTTTTCATGAGTAATTACGGAGAGAGGTTAATTAAGTATTCTGTTAATCAACTTTAATAAAAATTCGATGAAATTTGTAATAATAAATTCTGTAAGAATGAAACAAGCAAAAAATATCTTAAAAATTATAAAACGAATTGCTTTTATTATTGAAAATTTATAAACCTAAATTCATTGAAAATAAATAAATTTATATTAATAATTAATTATTAAATTTATATGTTATAAATTTTTCTTTCTGAAATTTTCTCCAAAATATATTTGAAATGATTGAATATTTTAATTCTGGTGCAGTTTCCAGAATGAACAAAATTTTTGCTAAAATTGATTCAAAATGGAATATTTTAATGATTTAAGAATCTGGTTTTTCAGGCACCTGAAAATTGAAGACTGGACTTTCCACAAATTGGAGTTCAAATGTGAATGTTCAAAATCTAATCATTCAAAATCAATCATTTTTATGATTTTGCCAATTGAAAATTCCGTAGCACAATATTATATTCTGCCTACAAAAATTACCTCGCCTATCATTTATCTCAGATTTAATCGCATTTATGGTTTATTTGTAGATTCAAATAACAGCGCAAGAAATAAAATGAGAAACACATTTTTCTTTCTCTTTCTCTCTCTATTTTAATTATTACTTAATATTTTCATAAACGCAGCCACTGCATCTTTTTCTATAACTAACGTCCTCCGTTTTCTTCTTCCTCTCACTTGCAGAGCCATCAATACCGCGCATGATTCTACCCAGGAACATGCAGCAACGGATCTATTTGCCGATGATGTCAATTAAGGATCTAACACTTTGGATGGGCAAGCAGAGAGGGGATATTACATTCCCCTATCGTTGTGAGAGATGTGGCAAAGGTTACCAGCATCGCGGCACCTTACTAAGACACACGCGACATGAATGTGGCAAGGAACCGCAATTCAAGTGTCCGTATTGCCCCCACAGGACGAAACAACGCGGAAATCTGTATCAGCATATCCGCACCAATCATCCTGGGAAGAGTGTTTTCTCCAGCAGCATCTAGTGCTCGTAAATGTTGCGTGCTTACGTTACCACTTCTGCAGTCTTCCTGACTGATTTCTATTTTTTACCTGACAACACTTGTATACGCGCAAATTAACGTAACTGGAGAAGGCAGTTGCAGTTACCATTGAGATTTAATTATATTGCGGATATTGCGTAAATTAACTTGTAATATGTAATGCCTCTGTCAATTGCGATTACATAACTGCTTTTTAAATTAACGTATCCGCTAATTAGTAATAAGAATGTTCGAATCTCTGGGTCGACTAGTTAAAAACTGATTTTTGCAAAAAAATTTAAAGATTTTTGTAAAAAAATTTAAAAATAGTCCCTTTTATTTAGAAAAATCGAATTCATGTCAAGAATTGATTTGAAAATAGCCCTTTTCGCTTGTAAAATCATCTTTTTTTTTTTTTTTTTTTTTTTTTAAGAGAATCGGAACATTTCTAAATACTAATTGTTTTTGCGTTGATGAAAATTTTTTTGGTTTTTTAAATTATCTATTGATATTTATATTAATAATCATAAGCGTAAAATCACGTATCCAAGTGGATGCGTAAGCATAAAATCACGCATCCAAGTGGATGCATTAATAGTGTGATATCTCTTTCCCTTCCTCCCCTTCCTCTCTTTCTCTCTCTAAAAAAAATGATTTTATATTAAAGTCATATTTCGAAACAAAATTTTATCCTGAATTTGAGACTTCAATAGGTTTGTTTGCGTTACTTACAATTTACAAAAATTTTACAAAAAATTTTTGCTTAAAATAAACTAAATATATGTTTGGGCTTTGAAGAGAGAGAAAATGAAGATGCTAAATGCAAAAAGTGCAAGCAATGCGACCTGATGTCAATGAAATCTATCCCGTTTTTGTCTTCCTTTCTTTATTATACATTATACTTAATGTTATTATTCCTGAATTTGTAAACTTGCCAAATTTTTAAAATAAATGAATTGGATCATTTTTTTTCACTTACTTATATGAATAATCCTGCCTGATTCCAATCACCGTATTAGAGAGACGTGCCTAATGAGTATACAACACGTATGTAGCATGTAAGCAGCTAAAGTCAGAGACGATCGAAGACAAGATTCATTGAATCATATTTGGACAAATGCGATAAAACTGTAACTTGTTGGATGTTGGCAGGATCTTCATTAAAACTATTTTCCTTTATATCTATTAACATATCTTGCATGATTTCTTGTCTCTGTTTTTTTTTTTTTAGTTGAAGATTTCTAAATACAAATATATGTATACTTTTCGAACAACGAAATAATTTTTGCACGCGGCCAGCCATCTTTTTTTTATCTTTGATTGTAACATGAAGCAATACTTGTTTATTTATAAAAACATACTTTATAATGTTTGTTAAAAATTATTACCAACTTTTTATTAATAATGTTTTTTACAAGATGGAAGTGCTTTTAGTGTTAATTAAGATTAATGTAAAAATATTACATATTAAATTTATCTTCTTGTGTCAATTATTATTTGTAGGATTGTTTCTTATAGATATAAATGCATAAATTTGATAAAAAAATTAATTATAAGATACTAGACTCAATATAGATAAAGACGCTGCAGTATCCTGTGTGCTCATCTTTATGACCAAATTTTTGAAAGTCGAGTTGGACTCAACCTGCCATTAAAATTTATTCACCTCGAAATTTCCGTGATCACTTACTAACCGCAGCATTTTATCTTCTTTCAGGGATGATAGTATGGCAAGGTATCCCTCAGCATCACCAGGATCAGATGATTAGTCATGGCAAAATTCCGTACAATTTTAATTGCGCGGAATTTGATCCGAAGACTTCCGAGTTAAAATTTCCCAGTTATCTCGACAAGAAACCGGGTTTATTCGAGTGTCCAAACTGTGGCAAGTATTATCGTTGGCTGAGAAACATGAGAAGTCATCTGAAGATCGAATGTGGCAAGGATCCAAAGGAGTGTTGCCCTTATTGTTCGCATCGCACCAAATACAAGAGCAGTTTGCATAAACACATACAGAGAATGCATCCAGAAACTGTATCTAGAGAATAATTTTGTATAATTTTACAAACTTGATGTTTTGTTTTTTGTTTTGGTAAATATTGAAAACAACAAGTTATGATGAATCATCTTCAATGACTCCAACCTTGATATATATTGTCAAAGTTATGATCCTGAATGTTCAATATTTATTTTTTTTATTATTCATCGTTGTTACAATCAATTTTTGCAGATATATTTGATGAGGCAGAAATAATGAAAATTGTTTATTGTTATATAAGATCTCTGTAAATTATTATTTATTAAATAAACCTGTTATGCATGAAGTTGTTTAACAAGCATAGACTAGAATGTTATTTATGATAAATTATAATTATTATAAATTTAATTAATCGAAATGAAAATAATATTAAATCGTTCGATAGAGTTTGTCGAGTTCTTTGTATTTTATTTAATGTCCCTGCAAATTTTTGTAAATTATGATTTATTGCAGAATCATCTTGTAGTTAATCGATATTTGACGATATTTTCAGGATCGATTTATTAATGATACAGTAATAAGGTATAATTATTTTATAGTTGGTTGAAGAATCTGAGAAAATATACGAGTATCGAATACGATTTATTATCGAATTAATAATATTAATGTTACATGATATTTACAAATATGATATAAATCGAACTAAAAGAAGAATATAATATCATCAAGAAAAAGCATTTGCTCTTCATAATTAGAACCTGAGATTTTCTTTAACCATTATATACATGATATTTTTATTGCGGTTTTATGACATGGATCTACATTCGTATATTTTATTAAAAGAAATTTTGCTAAATAGATTTTATTTTTATGTTTAACATTTCTTTTTGAAGTATAAAATGAGGGTAAATATATATGCTTATAATTAGTTTATAATTTCTCAATAAATTGATAAATTATAATTGTTACTCAATAAATTGATAATTATATGATTAATGATTAACGCTAGTTCTAATAGATCCATGCAATCAGGATTAAAATGATTTTATTTCAGTTTTTTGCCAAAAAATGCCGTGTCTTGATAAAATAAATTATTAATGCAACTTTAGAAGTTTAACTTATTTATTACAAATTCATGTGAAAAGTTCCTGTTTGCCAGCCGAATCAATTCACGAAATTGATATCTTACGAAGATTCGCACAATTTTATGATAATACATTAAGTAATCAATTTAGTATATTAAATACATATTTATTTTAATTTTCATTTTATTATATTCGTCTTCTCATGTTATTAAATACTTTGTACACAATTTTATCGCGACATATCTGCTAAATATCTTCAAGCACATATTTTTTAACATTTTCCACAAGCAAAAATATTGGAAAAATAAGTAAAAATGAATTCATTCATGGATTAATTCATAGATCTTGTATGTATATTATTTTCAGCTGAAATATTTTCTTTTGCATTTAAGAAGGTATAATGTACATACGATACATGGTCTTAACATTTCGCAGAAAATCTAATTTTGAGAGAAAAAAGTAAAATGTAAATAAATTCATAATGATAATAATAATAATATTTCTTGTGAAAGTGCTTCAGAGATATGTTTTGTCATATGCTATTACTAATTGTGAAATTGCATCTTCAAAGCGGATAGAAAGACACTCGCTGGAAAGCATCCTTGTTCGCATCATGATGGAATTTCTCTGGTTATTCCGCGCAATTATAAAATGATTTCCTCACTGACTAACATTTCTGTTGCAGGTATCAAGTACGCGTGCCAATGTGCCAGACGAAACTTTTTGTGGCCATCGAGTCTACGTCTACATCAGAAAATAGCGTGCGGTAAACCGCCGAATTTCTGCTGCACCGTTTGCGATTACAAGTCGAACTTCAAAGGCAACCTGAAGAGACACCTGTTTTGCAAACACAATATAGATTTGTATTGACACACGCGCGATTAGACGACTACTGCGTTTTTTTTTTTTTTTGAGAGATCGATCCTTCTTTAAAAGAAGAAAAAGGAAATTATATCTGTAATAAAATGTCTCTATTGTAACATGTCCTATGATAATCTTCCTTTTAATCCTTCAATTTTTTTCCAGCTGCAGTTGTAGTTGAACGAATTGGTTTTCTCGCGGATTACTTTTGTTTCAGGTCACTGATATCGAAAAGTGTCGATACAAGACGAAGTAAGTATGTATGTACAAAAAAGCAATCGCACGTGTGTTAGTTTTCTTCCTTGAAATTGAAGAAGCGCTTTTCGAGACGATCGATCATGTACGGATTTTCATGAAATCAGATATTTTCTCACTCTCGTAATTTCATTCGCACTTCGGACGACGAATCCGAAGAGATGTTATGCTCGCGACACTCGAAAAGCGCCGTATCGCTAGATGGATCATCCCGAGGACGTCTTCGAGGAAAATCCATTCCCGACTTGCTCAAGGCATGCGCTTCGATGTATAGAGACTATCTTGGTTGCGTTCAACGCTTGTTATCTCGTGACCGTTCAACTCTAGACTCTAAATGGGATTTCACGGGTTCGCACCATCCCGTTAGCGGGGATGAGACCCGATCCTCTCGCGGTCTTCGTGATCGCACTCTAATAGACGCTTCTCTTTTCAGATGCGCCCCTCTTTCCAATTGTGAGGCCACGGCTGCATGTGTGTCCCCGCTGCGGCCAGATGTACTCGTGGGCATCAAACCTGCGGAAACATCTCAAGATGGGCTGCGGCATGGTCACCTTCGAGACGCACTTTTCCTGCCAATACTGCCCCTATAGATCGAGGATCGAAGCGAGCTTCCTCAAGCACCTGCTCTCGGTGCACAACATCAAGTAGACGTCGCACTACGGCGACATTCCCGGTATCTCGCCGATTGACGTCTTCGATTCTTCCGTAATCGCGACGTCTCCGCGAGGAATTCGTTCGAGGTTTTTCTCGCGATCAAAACGAATGAGAAACTCATCAATGGTTCTTTCGTAGGAAGAAGAGCCTCATTACGGTCTTCTTGAATCAAATAATCTGGTAGTCGGATAATATCATACGCCCTGCAGAACTGTCCTCCCGTAGCTTCCCATGTTATGTTCTTATCTGATAAGAAGCTCGCGTATTCGAGCAAAAATTGGTGCGTTGCTTTCCGACGAGGAACTAAAATATTTGCTCGAATGATGACAGAAGCAGCGAGTATGCACAACGTTTATGTCCGATTGCTTTGAAGTTTATCGAAACGTCGACTCTCGAAAACGTAAGACGTCGTATGTAGTTGTAATATGACACGTCATATCAATGATCTGTATATGGTCTAACAATAAGTGTCGTACTATAGACTCTGTGTGATGTCATTATTGACGTTCGAGACTCCGCGAGAGCGATATTCGATTGTTTTAACTTATATAAGTTGTGTTTACGATGTTCGCTGACTTAACTCTCGAAGTTTTTATTTTATTTCAGATTATTTTAGGTCCTAATACGTGGAAGCGCTAGCTTCTTTCATTTGCAGAAATTGTTCAACGTGAGAAAAGCGACTTTGTAGATATAATCACAAGTGAACAAAATCTAGTCTAAAGGCTGTTTCTTCCGTAAGATTTCAGAACTCAGAATAATATGGATATTGTTTTTATATGTTTTAAGACAGAATAGTACGTCTTTTTAGGTACTTTGCTTAATATTAAGTAAAATGTGCAATTATAACTACAAACTATTATAAATACGTTTCTGATTTTTATTGAAAAAGAGTTCGAGTATATTCGCATCAAGAGTGATCGAAATGTTTGTTAATTCTTTCGAAAAATTTCGTTTATTCAAAATTATTTATATTAATTATATTCCAACTTGGGATTCCAACCATAGCGAAAGATCTTCGTTATTTTTACAGGAATCTTCATCATAAATGTTTTCTCTTACCAAAGACTTTTCTATCTACACACAATTCTAGTGGAAAAAAAATGTTTTCTATTCACTATTGGTGCGATTAATAATATCCGAATATCATTATTCACAATTCGTAACTTCAATATCACGCGTATATACGCGCGCGCGCGCGTGTGTGTGTGTATGAGTATGTGTGCAGAGTGGCAGGAAAGTCTGATTACTACCTAATGAGACATTAATGGTCACGTAACTATAAGTATAGCCGCCGGAAGATGTCGGAGGACGGCAACCATCGAAGACTACGTAATGATCTTAAAAGTCAAATCTGTAGGTTTAAGGATAAGCGATACTTAAACTTAAGAAGATGTCGATGGAGTCATTTTTTAACGCGATTAGTAATACGCTCTTGTACCGTCGATTATCGTGCATTATAGAGACTGCTCGAGTATAGTGCAATTTGACTGTAAATTACGCTAGCTCCAACTACACTTAGCCATGTGGCGTAGCGGATTTTAGACGACAGTTATTTACATTTATCGACGTACCGGCAATTAAACGTATCCAACAATCAGTAATTTCATTTACGACAATGTAACCGTGATTAGGGATAAGCATGCATCCGCGGCCTCTTTTACAATAATATATACAGATTTCAATTAATATGAACATTGATTTTTCTTTTTAGGGCTTTATAACGTATGATCATCCTGTTTTATAAACTGTTTTTACATCATGCAAATGAAACGAGAACGAAAGATATTATGTAGATCGTAGGTGAATTATTATCAGATACTCGAAACGCTGTATCGTCCCATTAATCACTTAAACGCATTAGTCATTTATCCAAATTCGAAACGTAAACTTCGACATTTCATAGGAACGAAATAATATCTTGACGTGAAGACGTCTGAGCAGATTAAATGCTAATAACGAAGCCTATACGGAAGCCTCGTAAATAGAAGAAGGTTACAAGGAATAAGTTTAGAAAATTGCAGTAATTGCATATCGAAAAATGCATGCTGACAAAATCAGAATTCACCTAATCACCTTAGTGATGGAATTTATATCAATACTCATTACAAAAATTTATTATGGCGAAGTTTCTTACTGTGTATGTGAATGATAACGTACATTCGACAGATGATGTTATAGAGATGATAATGATATAAATCATCTACGAGACGCACCGCAATGTACTTTATCCATTCGATAGATCAGTAGATCGATAGATCGGTGAAGCCACATGTCGTGTCGGCTGCGCTACGCAGCGATTAAGTGTTTGTGTAACAATGTTTCGCATTCGTTTGCTTTCTAAATAAATACCTGTGTACATATTCGCAGTCACGAGAAGATTCTTCGAACTGCATCCTTTCATCTTTTCATTTTACATATTTTATAAATTATTTTTCATGTAAAATCATAAAATGTCTCAATATCAGAATCAAAATATAAATTGCATTAATTTTATTTCCAAAATTTTTTAAGCTTTTATCATTTTATATATATGTATAATATCGTTCTAAAGAATATATATATATATATATATATATATATATATATATATATATACACATATATATATTCTTTAGAACGAGCGTATATATGGATCTCTTTTACACCGTTAAATCGGTTAGTACGTTTTGAGTCCGCAAATTGGTGGATTAAATATTTGATACATCATTATTTACATCGATCTGTCTTAGAACGGATCAAGTTAAGTGACATGTCTTCACTGCTTTTCAAGATATAAAACTTTAATTTTAACTTTAACCTGAACTTAAAAGCAGTGGCGAATTTTAATATACGATTCAAAACGAAACAAGCGTTTACAGCACGCTAAGATTCTTTTTATGCATATCAGCTTGGTCTAATACTCGTGATTCAGAAGTATTAGATCAAAATAATCCGCTAGTGTTCAAACGTATCAAGTGATTTATCGGATATGATATTTAATACGCGTATCAAGTGCTCGGTGTAAACTATAGATACATCTCTTTTATATTTTATCAATTATCTTTTTATTTTTTCTAACTTCCTCATTAATTCGGTTATGATTGTAATCATTATCATATGAATTTACCATAATCTGAACTTTATTTTATTCAACGTTCTTAATTATTGTTAATTATTATGTAGATCATCATGAAGTAAAAAATTAAATTAATAAAAATTTATTACTTTATCTATAACTTTAATTTTTTTTTTATTGAATTGTTATAACTCTAATATTTTTCATTTTATTTTCCATCTCATTTTAGTCTCATTTTAGTCTTCTATTAATAAAAAAATGTGCAGATTGTCACGATATTTCTATTAATTACTTGCGGGCAATTTAACAGTTTCGAGTTATAATGGATATTAAAATAAACAGAGACGGCGCGGTAATTTCAGTTTTTAGCATAAGAGAATAAGAGCAGAAGTTTATCGAAGGATGGAACAACCCAGTTTAAATCTATAGGTATAAAATTTGTTATGAAAATGTCTTTGAATTCATCGCATGCTGCTTAGATGTAAATATTTTAAGTAAAGCAGATCGCGTCTGGGAACGCACAAGTGGATGCTCTTAACAATTTGGTTGCGTTAACGCATACATGACAAGCTGGCTTTTGTGTTTCAGATCCGCTTGTTGTCTGGGTCGAGGATTATCAAGCATTCGATACGAACACGACCAGCTCGATCGATCATCAATCCAGCGATGATCATACTTACGTTGATCGTTTGCGATTCAGGCAAGTCACTAGTAGATTCAAGTGTTCCAAGTGCGCGAAGTCATATCGATGGAAACATCATCTTGTGGAGCACATTAAAGCTTCTTGCGGCCAGGAGAAGGCGGAATGCTGTCCCTACTGCAGTTACAAGAGCAATCGCAAGTGGAATCTGAAATCGCACATGAAGAGGATTCATGCGAGAGTATAAGAGACAGATGACAAATCACATTATTGATTATATTATTGATTGACTATGTTTTACAATACGCATCTTCGCTTTGATGATCTTCAATAAAATAGTTGTTTATGTCACTCAGATCTGAGAGATTATTACTTACATGGAATTAGTTCAAATTATCGTTTGTATTCTTAACGGTGTCCTGAAATCACATCCTTGAAAACAAGAGCATAGTTCTTCAGAATATCCATACTTTCCTTTTAATTACCTCGAATGAAATTTTATTTTTGTCTTTTATTTAATGTCTTGATTATTTAATATTCTATTTTATCATTTTCTTCAATTCTCTGCGGATAGGAATATAAAGAGGAAATAAAGAGCAAGTGTGGTAGAATTTGTTTCGTCCAAGTGTTGAGAATTCTTCTGAATATGTGTACTCTATTTGCGCCTCTTTCCTGTTTCAGGACCATTCATTTACGAGACTCCTTTACAAAGTGCGGCGAAATCACGAATATTTATACGCGATTTGGAACAGGCGAGGAGAGCCGTTAACGCTGTCGCCAATGGAATGTCTTTGAGGAAGGCCGCGAAAATGTACTCCATATCCAAATCAGTTCTACATCGATACAGCAAACGGGGCATTCCAACGCGAGTGATTTACACGAAGTTCAAGAATTCTTAATGTTTAAAAAATATCGTAATTTTCTAAGAGGCGGTTGTTCCATTTTCAGATAAATTATGTGATGATCTATTAGATAAGCAAAAAAGTAAAAGAGTAAGAGCATAAGAGAATAAGAGCTGAAGTTTATTGAAGGGTGGAACAATCCAGTTTAAATGGCATAAAGTTCTTTGATCTTATTAGCACAACAAAAGAAAGTATTAAAAGTTTTTTTTTTTAATTAACACAATATTATATTTTCTCACCTTTTATAGCAGTGGAATTGGATTAAATTTATATTATTATTATTATTATTTATTTATTGCATGAACATATAGCAGTTCTTATCCCAGTAAGCAAGAATATTTTAGCAACATTGTAGCAACATAACATTGCTACAATATTGCTGAAATGTTCTTATATTGCAAAATGTTTCTTACTTATTGGGATATATTGTGATTTATGAATAATAAGAATCGACATAACACTACATACAGTGTAATAACATTTCATATTATTACTTTTTATTTTTTTGATCGCAATCAATTCTATTTTTTATCAATAATGTAAAGAAAATATTGTAATCCAACAATCTAAATAATTTTTTCATTAATTTAATATTCTATTTTTATCATATTAAATAATAGTTTAAATTAAATAATATAGTTGATAAAGAAATTTTGGAAAATAAAATAAATCTTGTAAACTTTTCTTTAAAGTATAGGATGTATTAGATGTATAGTCTCTGCAAAGAAAATTAAATTCGCGGAAGTATAGTATATTTAATTCAAATAAATATACAATGACAGTTGTGTGGATAAGATCATATTTTTGTAGTTTATTTATTTTATTTGTTATTATTTTTATTGTTAACAATTAAAATTTTAAAAATTTACATTTTTTAAAATAAGTATTTTAAATATTTAAAATAATTTATATGCAAAGTTTCATTGCGATTTACTGATTAATTACAAAGATATTGAACAAATAAATATTTTATTTATTTACTGGACAACTAGTCATGCATCGTAATTTAACTCTACGTAAATAATCTTGAATACTAATGTACTTATATTAAAAAATTGAGATTTTTATCATTTATTTTATAATGCATTTCCATATAATTTTAGAGCACAGATTAAAAAAATATTACATATTTATTAAAATAACTTATGATCCAGATAGTAAACCGTCATCAAGTCGTATTATTTTTAAACATGATTTAGAATAATTTATGATTAATTTTTTCATAATTTTGTTATCATTTTGAAAATGTGTATAAAACATTCTCAGTATAATTTTGTAATTGCATTTTCCATTTTTATGTTGTTTACGATTTCCATTTTTATGTTGTTCATAATAAATCAAGTGAAATTACATTATATGGAAAAGTATATGGAAAAACATTAATAAAAATTGATCACAGAATTTTATTTTTATATTGTCTACTGTTTCATCCTTGTATATATTTGTGTTTTGTTGTTTATTAATTGTTCAGGATAATACGTTATTAGATTGAAGATTATAAAAAATAAAAGATTATAAAAAATAAAAATTTTAA